GATGGAATGACTAAATTTTGATCCCTGAAATCCTTGGTAATATCAATGTTCACTTTGTCTGGTTTTGTTGCAGCATGTCCCATATCTATTGTATGACATAACAATTATTCATATAAAATCTTTTTTTGGCAACTTGGATGTAGTGTAATGTTTGTCAATTGAACAACCTTTTGTCAATTTTACTATGATCACTATCTCTTCAGATCATTATTAGTTTTCTACACATGATTGGCGAAACACGAATTAAACTTTCTTTCAACAATTTTTTGGACTTGAAAATTTTAAATATAAGGTGCCTGATTTTGTATGACCTACTAATTGCTCCTCAGTTTGGTAGTTTTTTCTTCCTCTTGTAATAAATAGGGGGGTCGTGCAAAGAGAAGAACAACAAAATTATTTCATTATGGAAACAATATTTACAATCCATTTATTGACGCGCATGCTGATACCAATTAATGATCCGTGCACATACACACTTCAAATGTTGAACATTTAACGGTGGCTGAGGAGACAAAGTTATCGATAATATTCTCGGTTGTGGACGAGCTCTTTGTAGTGACAAGTCTTGCGCAGATTATTTGTGGTGGTCTTATCTCGAATCCGTGGAAATAAAATTCTCAAGTACAAGTAGAATTCAGAGAAGGAAAGTTGAGTTATTAAAATTCGAGGAACAGATAATTGGTAAAAAAACTCAAAAATCATCATCAAAGTCATCGTAAAACAAAAAACCACAAAAAATCAAGTAATCAGGAAGAAATAACAAACAAAAACACACTCTAACGACCTAGGAATCCTTCTTTCCCCAAAAGATTAAATCTTTGTGCCAAAATGGTATGAAAGAAATATCTCTACTGAATGTTCTTCACAATGAAAATGAAAATAACTTTTACTTTGGAAAAACGTTCGATGGTCTTTTTTTAATTGGTGCGTGTAACATTTTCTTGCGGGTTCAAGAGGCATTTTGACATCTTTGGTTTATAATGGTGTTATTTTTGAGCTCATAGTTATGAGTCAAAGTATACGCGAAAAATTTACGTTGATACTTTTTAATAAAGTGGTTGTATAGTTATGAGAAAGTCCGGTGGCCATAACAAAGCCTGTTATCTAGACTTCATTCATTAGCACTAAAAAGACGACTTTATTATTAAAGTTTAATAAAATTTCAATTATTTTAAAAAAAAAAAGGTTAAATCTTGAAGGATCCGCGATTGTGCAGATCAATGAGAACATCAATTGGCGCAGCACTTGATTCAAAATATTTTTCTTGTTATGATGGCAAACTCTGTTATAAATAATTCTTCTGAACCTGAAACAATATATCTCAATCCCAAAAAAACAATCAATAACCACACACTTAACAAATTAGGTGCTGATTTTTCTCTTGGTGCAAAATTCACTCCACGTACGCTAAGCAATATAGCATGTTATATTTTCGCAAAGGAGCCAAGAGAAAAAGTAAGTGAACCTTGGTTTTTTTACTGATAAATGATTGGAAGATAAGATTAATGATATCATTTTATATGATATTATAGAAGGAAATAGTTTATCAGGAGGATAGAGAAGTGTATACATGTACGATGTTTCAATATAAAGAATCAAGGATATCTGTAAGTATTATATAAACTTGGAGTGTCTCAAATAATTAATTAATCTTTTTTTATTTTTTTCTTGATTTTTTGTAGTTTTGCAATGATTCATATTCAATTTTCCATTCATTAGCCGAAATTCTCGCTAATAATGAATCTCAAGACCTGTAATTAATTTTTTTGATTGATTAATTGTTTGTTTATTTGTTCGTTTGTTCTTAATAACTAATTAATCATCATCTAGTTTTGAAGAGGAAAAAAATAATTATAAGCAAGCATGTCATTTGGGATATGAATATTCTCAAATAATTATCAAGTGTATTAATAGATTGGATAAAGTATTTTTTTTTTTTTACAAACATAAGTATAAATGCATTGTGCATATATTTATTAATTTATTTATTTCTAGATTAATCCTAAAACTGATGAAATTGAAAATGAATTAGCAAATTTTTTAAACATCTTTAAAGTCTGGGAACTTTCAAGAATTCTTTATTTTCAAGAATTTGATGAAGTAGGATATTTGGCTAGTGATTTGATGGATTGGTTAAACATATATGATCCATTTCGTGGTAAATCAAATTTTTACAAACATATCAAGTTTTAATTTTTTATAATATCATTACTACTGATCATTCAATAATAATAAAAATAAATTTTTAAGGAAAAAATTTAAGATCAAGTTGATTTTTACTTAATTCTGCAATACATTTTTCTATCTATTTAAATTTACATTATCAGTCTCGCCCGATCAAGAATTCATTAATTTCGAAGAATATAATCCTGAACATCATGAAGATCCATACTTTTGGAAATGTGTATTCAGGTAGATATGGAATCATTATTATATATTATATATTTATTATTTAAATTATATTGACAATTTATTATTGAAAAGATTTGCACTTCGAGACTCTCCGATGCTTAATAAATATTTGAAAAGTTTAATTAAACCTAATGAAAAGAATAATGATAATAATAATGCTATTAATACCCTTATGGAAAGAATAGCTGATCGGCCACGAATAAAAAATGGGATTAAAACTAATCAAGATTTTATTGGATATTGGCAAGAATGGAAAAATCGTTGCAGGTAAAAAATAAATAAATAAATATGATATCTTTTTATTAAGAAAATTTTTGATTTATATATATACATATATATATATATATAAATATTAATTTTTACTTTAATAATAATTATAATTATATTATGGAATAATAAAATCAGGAATCTTGTTAACATCATAAACTTTGAAAATAAAACTGTACAAGATAATGTAACAAAACTTATAAAGATTTTATGTGGTGAAACTGAAGCTATTTTACAGTGTTGTAAATTTTGGCAAGAAGCTTTTGTGTGTTGTATGTATCACTTTGGTCAAGATTATGATATAACAAATATACCGTAAGTTATATAGATTTATATGAACAGATCATTCATTATTAAGCCTTATATATAAATATTTATTTTTTGAAATAGTTCTATAGTTATAAAATGTTTAAAGAAATATCCAATAGATCCGAATAGCTTGATAGATAATGCCTTGTTTAAATTATTGTTAGGAGAGATAATTCCAGTAAGTTAATACATATATATATATTTAATTACTTGTTAATTTGTAATTATTATTTACATGAGAGGGGTGGGGTTTTGTTGAAAACATAAAGGGATTAGGATATTGTGAATTAATAGATTCCTGGTTGGCTGCACATTTGGCTGATATTCTAAGCAAATTTAATATAATACCTAAAAATAAAATTTCAGCCTTTTCAACTGAGCTCCGAGAATATTATCTGTTAAATTATGCAGAACTATTAATACACAATCAAGTATTATGGCAATTAGGATTTGAATATTTAGATCATTGTGAAATGCTTGGAGAATCATATTTATCAGAGGTTATAATTCAAATAAATAAATATTATTATTATTGGTATTATTACAAATATATAATAATTTATATAGAATCATTTATATATTCACACATTTTCTAGCTTATTGTTAAAGTTCCTATTGATTCAGAAAGAAAAGCAGCCAAATTGTTAAATATTTGTAAAGCCAAAAATTTAAAAGCTGAAGCCAGAATTATTTTAAAGGTACCACCTGAGTTTATATTTATATAGTCTATTTATATTTATTGTAATAATAAATTATTTTTTAATAAAGGTTATGGGCAAGAAATGTTTAAAAAATCAGCGATATTCGTCATCAATCTTATACCTTATGCAAGCAGGTGAAACAGTATGGTTAGAAAAAATAGTCCAAATGCTTTTAGAAGATTATATTAGTACAGGTATGATATTGATTATGTATACATTAAATTATATTTCGATATTTTAAAATATTTTATATTTATCTAGGAAAATTTAATTTTTCAAATATAATTGATGATATTCCATTGGATGAATATTCACACGTGTCAATAAACTTTTTATCAAAGTTTGCATTATTTAATAAATTAATGAGGGCAAGCACACAATATAATATCTATTTTTATTCCATTAATATATTATATATGTTAACACTTATAATAATTAATATATAGGAAAAGGAATATGAACACGCAGGCAAAGAATTAATACAATTAATGAAATCACAAGTAGCACCTAAAGCTTATTGGCCAGCATTGTTAGTCAATGCGATTCCTTTATTAAAATTAGGTAAAATTAATATATTTATATACATAATTGTTGGTTATAATAACTTATATTTGTCCCTCCTTATATATATATATATGTGTGTGTTAATAATAATAGATCATATATTTGACCAGCAAGATATACATGAAATTTGGCGTATTTTACAAGAAATTATAGGGCCATTACAACCTATAGAATGTTTATTAACAATTCAAAAAATAATGAAATGGCATAATCAAACAAATGAATATGAAACATTGGATGAGGAATTATCAATTATTCCTTATTTATGTACAAAAAATATTTCTAGATTGTAATTTGGAAACAAGTTCATTGAGATTTGTTAAAAATAAAATATAAAGAAAAATGAATTATTGAAAAATAAATATAAAGAAAAATGAACTAATAATACACAAATTTACTATTATCCTCGCCCCCATTATCGAATTTGTTTAAAATCCCATCATTATTATGAGTATGGTTGACATCATGATTAGTATTAAAATCATTATTGTTGTTGTTGCTGATGTCACCATTAAAACCATTTTCAGAGAAAATCACACCCTGATTAGTAAAGATCTGTGAATTTGTAGATAGAAAGTCTGTTGTAACATCAAGATTTATTGATGGCGACGTTGATGTTGTAAGATTAGGTAATGTTGGATCAGAGGTATTAATATTAGTATTAATATTGTTTGTATTATGTGATGAATAATCAGTAAATAAAATATTTGTCATTGGGTTATTGACAATGATTGGTTGGAAATGTAAATTGGTAACATTGTCAGAATTTGTCAAAATTTGTTGGTGTGGGTGTGGTGATAATGATGGTGGTGGTGATGATGGTGATAATGATGAAGACGATGGAGGATATGATGGTTGTGTTGATACTTTATTTTGAAAATTGTTATTGAAACCGTCTATTGAAAATGTAAAATTAAAATTATTTATATTATCAGGTAGATAGGTGGACATATTATTTTTTCTTCTATTATAACTATGTTTTCTTCCTTTATTGCCATTGTTATTAGTTGTTGTATGAGAAAAATAATTATCGTGCTCATCAAATTCAAACAATGTAAAGCCATTTTCTGATTTAATCTGTTGTGCATTTTTAGTTTCCTCTTCTTTTGCACTAATCAACAAATTTTTCAATGTCATCTCACCATCCAATCTACCCTCACCACCAAACCTTCTCCTAGCAATTTCCCTAACTTGGTTTTTGATTTCTTTTAGTCGTTGCACCATACTTGCAGCCTTTTCGTCACCTTTTTGTGCTGTCCATGATAAAACTCTGATAGCTGGTGCTATTGAAAATAATGCTGTACATGATTGTTCAAAAAAATCTGATACAGAATTCATCAATACATCAAGCCAATGCAAAAGTATTGTAGCTGCATGAAAACAGATTGCTTGTGATGATATTCTAGTTTCTTCATCAATATTGTTAATCGGTAAATGGTTTGATGTGAACATTGTCAAATTACGACTATGAAGCAGAATAAGTACCGTCCAAAATAAAGTATGCATTTCTCCTAAAAAAATTAATACAATCACAAAATTTGATTTTTCAATTTTAAAATGTATACTTATGTAGACTATATCTAATTAAATTTTGATTTTAACTACCTCCAATTGAACCTAAAAAACTTCCTTTAACATCTTGAGCCATTTCTTCAAATTTCAACCAATTAGGAAGAGTATAAAACCATCTTCCTAATGCAGCATCCAAAAATTTGAATTGATTTTCTTGGTGTTGACCGCCTGTTGTTTTAGCATGCCCATACAAATATTTACGAATCTATTTTAAAACATAAACAAAAAAAATTTAATAATTAATAAACTGGCTCCATTGATATTTAACATGTGGTTTTTTTCCAAGGTATAAATAAAAGTATAATGTTTGATTGATTACTTGAGCGAAAATTCTTAATAAATTTATGTGTAAGATCCAAGCAATATGTAGTCTTGTTTCTTCATCAGGTTCAGGATCTGGCGGTATTGGAAGTAAATCCACATCACAAGTTGCTTCATCTATAGCACTCGGACGACCATAAGTTGCAGAAAGCCACCTAATTATTGGACAAAGAAAAATTGAATTATTATGAAATAATAAAAATTTTAGTGATAAATATCTAATAATATAATTAACTGATTGATGTTTAAAAACAATAGAAAAAAACATACACTTCACCAACAAAACAACCCCAAAATGCCATATCTCTCATTTCTTTAATTTCAGTATTTTGAATTTGATCATTTTTGATTTTACGATGCAAGCCTAGCTCGAATGACATTTTAGTTGCCATACCATAGAAAATCCAAGCTGATCCCATCTTTTTGTTTTTTTTTTTTTTTTTTGATAATAATTTATCAGCGGATAAAAATAAGTAATTGGAAGAATTATTAAAACAACAGAGTAATTCTAATACTAGTAATACTAAAAACCAAGTGAATTAAAAATATCACTTTCTATATAAATGATGTAAATGTATATCATGAAAAATATTTGTACCTTTCTTATGTTAACTCCCAGTATGAATAAACTTATAACTGTTAAAACATGTGGAGTTTGGATACAATGGTTTTGTAATAATGCTAATTTTTTATGAAAAGATATTAAATATTAAATATATATATATATATATATTATTTAATAAAATTATATAATAAATTTCTAAATACCTAATGCTCTCTACAAATAAAAAATAAAAAAAGTTAAATAATAATTATAAATAATAAATGAATTTATTTAATCATTTAGTTATACGAATCAATAATAAACATGATCTAATTAATAAAAACCTGATAATGTATCCCACCATCTCGTAAATTTGGATCAGGATGAAATGGAGATGCAGCAAAGAAAACACTATTGAGTAAAAGAAATTGTTGTGGTGTTGATAAATCTTTGAAACAGTCAAGTACAACTTTTCTCTTTAGGTGAGGATAATGTCTATATATTTTCTTCAAAAAAGTGCATATATATTATTGTTAAGAATAACATTTAGATTAAAATGTTCATATGCGCGTGCGCACACACACCTGATAATAAACATCAATCAAACTTTCTGCCGTTTCAGGATTAGGCATAATTTTTAAATATGGTTCAATAACAGATAGATCATCTTGTGGTTGCGGAATCATTTGTTCTTCCCCCGTCTCATTCAACATCAACAATGACCCTGTACCAACATATCTAGTTGACTCATATATTTTCAAACTACTTTTCAATTGATTGGTAAGTTCTTCTATAGATGTTTGATCTGCGTGACCAAATTTGGTGTTATTATAGTTATCTGAATCATTTATGGGAATACCCTATATATGAATTATTTATGAAGAGGCAGATGTATAAGATATAATAATATTATTTATCATTTATTAATAATCATCTTTTTCCAACCTGTTCATCTTTTTGAATAGAAGCAGCGAATTGAGAAGTAAATTGTAATGTTTCTTCAGAAAGATTTTGATTTAAACTTGGTAGAAATTGGATAGATTCTACATCCAAAGGAGGATAAAACCCACTCCAGTCCTATATTAAAAAATAGTCATTTGAAAAATTCAAGTATAATTTTTTTTCTCAAATACCGATAAAAAAATCTTACAAGAACTCCATTTCCAGCTAAATAATCATTTTCAACTTGTAATGCAACATTCTCTCCAGGAATCAATGTATCACTAGTATTAAAATCACCATTAATATTAGCATCAGTAGTAGTAGCAATCTCTAATAACGCATTCATCTGATTTAGTTGTTGGTATTGTATGGACTGAATATCCTCAACTTGTTCTTGTAGAATTTCAAGTTCACTTTTTGGGCGAGGTCGTTTCGATGATGCTGAAAAGTTATAAGTACAGACACGTTTAGTCTTATTGCAAGTCCCACAAATTGGCTTTTCTTTGTTACATTTTACTTTACGATTCTTACAGTTGTCACAGGTTTCTATTGGTTTGATTCGTCTTGCCAACATGTCATTGGTCGAAAATAAGTTGGTGGTGGTGTTGTTAGGTATAGTATCGGGTGGTGGCATGCTCATTTTTAAATAATGAAAAATTGTATGTTCTAAAAAAAAAAGACTTATTGAAGGCAGAGATTCAATACTATTACTACTACTATTATTACTACTACTATTATTACCACTACCTAACCACTACTATTAATAAAAAATACCAAATTCCAAATTCAATAAAAAATTTTAGTCACGTGATAAAGCGATCATTCCTGCATACAGTAATCAGTATTGTGATGTTATATATACACACAGCTTTGTTTTTATCTTATTCTCTCTAAAAGTGACTTTTTAATATTAATGATTAATTGTTACGCGACAATAAAAAAATTTTTAATTTGCGTGTAACGCCGGGGTGTTAGATATAATACAATAATAAGTATAATAACAAGATCCAGACAGTAATATTATAGCAGGTGGAACCTATAATGATTCAAAAGGTTATTTCATTCAACCAACAGTA